TTTATCTTGGCTGGGAAGATCCTTAGATGGCCTGAAATCAGATTGGACTTGTAAGAAGGTAACCTGGTCGTGGAATAGATATTCTAGAGGATAGATTAGAATAGAGAAGGACTGACTTTAAGCCTAATCATAATTCGTGTAGTCCAGACCAAAAAGGAGGCCTGGAATAATCTGGTGAGAACAAAGAAAGCTATATTTAATGGTTAGAGTTGGCCAGGCACAGTGGCTCACACTTGTAATCCCAGCACTTTGGGAGACCAAGGGGGGTAGATCACTGAGGTTAGGAGTTTGAGACTGGCCTGACCAACACAGTGAAACCCTGTCTCTACTAAAAATACAAAAACTAGGTGGGTGTGGTAGTGGGCACCTGTAACCTCAGCTACTAGGGAGGCTGAGTCAGGAGAATCGCTTGAACCTGAGAGGTTGCAGCTAGCCAAGATCGCGCCATTGCACTCCAGCCTGGGTGACAGAGCAAGACTCTATCTCAAAAAAATAAATAAATAAATAAATAAGGTTAGAGTCAGAAGCCTAAGAATGTTATTAACTTTTGACCCTATTAGCATCCATCCTAAGGAAATAAATCATAATATAGAAAAATGTTTTGGATACAAAAATGTCCTTTCATATAGTACTGCTTTATAATATATGGCACTTCTGCCAGCCAAACTTAATCTTAGTTTTCATATTTCTTTGTCTGACTCCCCACTAAAGGTCCATGAAGGGAGAAATTTTGTCTCTATATGTTTACCTCGTCTGTGTGTCTTCGGCCCCTAGGACAATGCTGAGCACGTAGTAGGTCATCAGTAAATAATTGTGGAATGAATACTTGAATGATAGAAAGAAGCCATGAACAAATTAATCTTTCCCTTGCCTTCATTCTGATAGAGACATCAATGAGGATAATAGAGCTCATGACTGGGTGTGATGGCTCATGCCTGTAATCTCAACATTTTGGGAGGCCAAAGTGGGAAGATCACTTGAAGCCAGGAGTTTAAGACCAGCCTGGGCAACAAAGCAAAACCTGGTCTCTACAAAAAAATTTTTAAAGTAGCTGGTCATGGTGGCACATGCCTATAGTCCTAGCTGTTCAGGAGGCTGAGGCAGGAGGATCACTGGAACCCAGGAGATCGAGACTGCAGTGAGCCATGATTACACCATTGCACTCCAGCCTGGGTGACAGAGTGAGACCCTGCTTCTAAAAAATATATTTAAAAAACTTAAATTTGGCAGTCCAATGAGAATAATTAAATGTCTAATTCATATACTATAGCCATAACATAAAATATTATTAAGATTATTGAAATTTATATTAGAGTTTTTCCACCAGGCTGGGTGGATCACCTGAGGTCGGGAGTTTAAGACCAGCCTGACCAACATAGAGAAACCCTGTCTCTACTAAAAATACAAAAATTACCTGAGCATAGTGGCACATGCCTGTAACCCCAGCTATTCGAGAGGCTGAGGCAGGAGAATCACTTGAACCTGGGAGGCAGAGGTTGTGGTAACCCGAGATCACAGCATTGCACTCCAGCCTGGGCCACAAAAGTGAAACTCTGTCTCAAAAAAAAAAAAGAGTTTTTCTATATAAGAAGAAACCCTTATGTCCTAATATCAAATTAAAAGGTAGGATACCAAATTGTATGTACCATGATATCTCAATTATGCATATTTTCCAGCTTTTCTACAATGAACGTGTATGATATAATCAGGAAAAGCATATTGTTTTAAAAGAAATACAGGAAATTTGGAGAGATATTGTCAACTCTGGTTGTCACTGGATACTAGGACTTAAGGAGACAGTATAAGAGCATGTGTGTATTGCCGGGCGCGGTGGCTCAAGCCTGTAATCCCAGCACTTTGGGAGGCCGAGGCGGGTGGATCATGAGGTCAAGAGATCGAGACCATCCTGGTCAACATGGTGAAACCCCGTCTCTACTAA